TCATGTTGCAGGCTGCTGCTGGTGGTAGCCTTTGAGTAGGGAGTACTGCAATAAGAAGGGCTTAGGACAGAGGCCCTGGGCCCAGGCTGTGCTCTGCAAAATCAGCAGCCGTAAGACCTTGATGAATTGTAACTTCTGACATCCAGTGTCTTAGCTACAGCATGTAGATGGGATTTATCATGCTAAAAAAAAAAAAAAAAGGAGAAGAAGAAGAAAAAGTAAGGGTCTTATGGTCACCAAAGTAACTAGTGGTGGCTATAGGTATCAAATACATTGATTGATTATATAAACTGACTGACCTGTAGTCAGACATACGGTGATAGAGAAGGCCTCTGAGAAAAAGGCAATCCCCAGAATTACAGGTTAAGTAGCTCGAGGTTGCATTCTGGACTCCTCAACAATCATTACTGTGCAGGAGGAGTCAGTTATAGCCGTTGTCTTTGAAATTTGGAGTATACTTTAGGCTTGAGGAGGGGAGATAACTGGGTAGCTTGCTGTTGCCAGATTCGTTGGTGGTATCGTTCATCTCCTCACAGGAGAGGCATCAAGAGGAAGTAGCTGGCTGGGCCTGTGGTTCTCCTGCACACTTTTTCCCCTCTGTGGCTGAACTTTCAGCTACTGTAACATCCTCATTACCACATGCCTTGATTCTTTGATACTGATGCTGATATTCTCTTGTTTAAGCTCAGTCACGTGGACAGAGGATAAAAGGCAGAGTGTGTTTTCCTTGCCCTACTCCCAGGGTGGGAAGCAAAGAGGGGCTTTGAGGAACCTGGCACAGCCACCTGTATCAGAAGGAGCTCTACCCTGTTCCTGGGATAGTTTGTAGAGAAAGAAGCCAGAGGATAGTTCTGGGTCCAGTGATGTCAGGTAGTATGTGACCATGGTCCCTTTGTATTTTCTGATGTGGGTTAAATGTTCTTGTTATTTCATGTATTTAGATGCTAAACATGTGAAGAGCCTGAGAAGATGGACATCCAGAATCCAGAGTAATCCCATTAGTGTCAGGCATCCTTAAGGTTGCATTCAGATCCCTTAAAGGTAAAATCGTGCTTTACCTTAATGACACATAGAACCATGGTGAGGCTATTGAGAAGTAGCTTTCATGTACAGTGCTTCATTCAGCATATGTAAATATGTGTGTGTGTGTGTGTGTGTGTGTGTGTATGTATATATATATATATATATATATATATATATGTTTGTATAAATGTATGTGCGTGTGTGTGTGGTTTTTTTTATGTATGTATGTTATACTGCTGTAAACAGACACCATGACCAAGGCAACTCTTATAAAGACATTAAGACATTTAATTGAGGCTGGCTTATAGGTTCAAAGGGTTAATCCTTTATCATCAAGGTGGGAACATGGCTGTGTCCAAGCAGGCATGGTGCAGGAAGAGCTGAGAGTTCTACATCTTCACCTGAAGGCTGATAGAAGACTGGCTTCCAAGCAGCTAGGATAATGTAGTAAAGCCCACGTCCACAGTGACACACCTACTCCAGTTAATGCCACACCTCCTAGTAGTGCCATTCCCTGGGTTGATCATATTCAAATCACCACAGTATGTATGTATGTATGTATGTATGTATGTATGTATGTATATTTTTGTGTATATATGTGTGTGTGTGTGTATGTATGTATGTAAAATTAAACTTGAAAGCGTTGCCTAAATTTACATATGTATAAAGTGACACAGAGGTAGGGGCTCCTAATTATGAAGATTTGGCAATGGGAGGGAATGAAGGGCCACAGTGCTAGTAGAAAGCCCAGGAACATGACATGTGCAGATATGTAGGGTCAGGTTGGAAGCTTTCCTTGATCCATTCACTAGATAGCTTCTTCCTAATTCTTTAGCATGTATGCCAGTTTGAAGACTAAATTCCTATCATGTGGGTGTTTTTCTGTTTGTATATGTGTATATCATATGTATGCTTGAGGTCTCTTTCCTTAGTGGAGTTTCTAGGCCATCTTAGGAGAATATTCTTGGAACTGGGGAGATGGCTCATCAGTTAAGATCATGCACTGGTATTGCAGAGGACCGTGGTTCCATTCTGTGCATGCTCATGGTGGCTAACAGCTGTCTGTAACTCCAATACCAGTGGATACAACATCCTCTTTTGTAGTTTGTGGGCACTGTATACAAGTGGCACATAGGCATTGCAGGCACAACCACAACCACAAAACAGATTAGTAAATAAATCTTTTTTTTAAAAAACGACATTTTGGACAAAAGTTTCCTAGAGGAAGAATGGCTTTGCGTTTTTTAAGAAATAGCCCAAGTGTCTTCCCTGGAGAGACGATCCCATGGAGGCCTCTGAGAGGCTTGGATGTTGAGGGGCTTGAATAATGGAACATTTTGTTCCAACTTTGGAAACTGATGTGTGAATTTGAGTCTTCAGGCTAGTGTGAATGGCAGGTATGCATTCAGCTAGAAGTGGTAAATTTTCTGTTAAATACTTGGGAAATATGAAATAAATTATTGACATGTGTCTGGGTCACTCTTCTATTGCTGTGAAGAGACATCATGACCAAGGCAACTCTTACAAAGAACACATTTAATTTTGGGCTTGCTTACAGTTTCAGAGGTTATTGTAATTATTAGCATGGCAGGGAGCATGGGCAGACATGGTGCTGGAGAAGTAGGTGAGAGATCTACATCCTGATCTGAGAGAGAGACACACAGAGGGGGCAGAGGGAAGGGGAAAAAAGATGGAGAGGGAGAGGGAGGGAGGGAGGACACAGGGAAGGAGGGAGAAGGAGGGAGAAGGTGGGAGGGGAGAGATAGAGAGAGACAGAGATTGGGCCTGGCATAGGCTTCTGAAACATCAAACCACACACCTAGTGACACACTTCCTCCAACAAGGCCATACCTCCTAATCCTTCTAATTCTTTCAAATACTGCCACTTCCTGGTGTCTAAGCATTCAGATATGAGCCTATGGGGGCCACTATTATCTAAACCACATGTATGATATTGCTCTTTAATTGCAGGTGATAAAGCTGATTTTGGCTAAATGAACAAAAGAACTGTTGAGCTAAGTGAAAGAATACAAGTTGTGATCTGCAAAACCTGCCCACAGCCGAGGGAAGTGGGGCTCAGGAAAGGAAAGGGGGCAGCTCTTTTGGGTGCTGTGGTTGGAGTACTAGGCTTCATTCCCTTCAGGCTCTTTTCACAACTCAGATTCCTCAGGGAGCTTGTGTGATTCCAATGGCCTTCCCAAAATAAGTGTGAAAGAACAGTCCACAGAAGGTGCCGTGGACTGGCAGGCAGATAAATCAGTGAATGTATTCTAAGAGGTGAACATGATAACTCCGACCTTCCTGGAAGTTTGTAGTCACTGGATATAGACTGATGAGTAGAAGGACAAATGACAGTAGGCCGTAGAGGTTGATGTGGAAGGTGTTTACAGAGTGGTGAGAGCCTAAGGGAGGTTTGAAAGTTTGCATGGGAGAGACAAATATTAGGTTGTCTGAAGTGAAATTTAAAGATGAAAAAGACTTTGGTTAGAATTCCTGTGTGTATAGCAGCATGGAAAGAAAGATGGTACATGTAAAGGGATGCTGTGTCTAGGAAGTGCAAGGCATTGCAAATGGCTGATCTCAAGAATGCACTGAGGGAGAAGAGTGGTGGGGCTGCATTCTAAAGGCCCTGGGGGCTTTTCTGGGCTAAGAGACTTTGGTCCTAGGAGATGAGCTGTCATGTGATCTTGGGTACCAGAAGAACATAATTAGAGTTTTTAGGAGATAGCTGTAGAATGGGTAGGAGGACCCTCAGATTCAAGTCTATTGAATGTAGCTTGGGATGCTGATTGTTCCAGACCAGGCAGAAAATGAGATGCCGAAGAGATTTCCCAGGTGGTTGCAGATTTTGATGGGCATTTATGGATTTGTCAGGATGGTAACAGGTCACATGAAGCCTGATTGCTGCTTTCTTGCTTGTGGGGTTCTGAGCCTTTGAGGGTGACATAGTTAATGTGAAGGCTATAAGGCATTGAGGGGTGTAGTGAAGGCAGGTGTAAGGTTCCCTGCCTTCACTTTCAACAGCCAGTGCTCTATGTGCTTAGAAGGCAGCAATGCCCTGGATAGCACTTGTCTGGGAGAGAGCAATTAGGAACAATGTAGAGACAGCTCAGGCTTTTGTTGCTGAGTAGGAATGGGGTCACTTCCTCTAGATAGCCATTTTGTAACTCTGAGGAGGAAGGTGAATAAGGTTGAGGAGGCTTGCATTCCCTGAAGTTGCTGGGACTAGTGAAAGAACTTCCCTTTCCTTATAAACATGAGCTCTTGGACAGGGAACAACATGATTTTCAGTGACAAGCACTTTGGTAATACATACAAAGGCCTAGGTTTTAATCCCCAGTGTAAAACAAAGCCAAATAAGACAGATGAACAACAACCAAGGGCTTAATTTTACAGTGTACTAGATCCTGTGTACATATGTTTATGTTCATTATCTTCTTATCTATCTATCTATCTATCTATCTATCTATCTATCTATCTATCTAT